AGGAACACGGCATTGGCAGCCTCCGCAAGTTCATCAGAGAGCAAAAGCGCAAGCGATGGTGTCGGCATCTGCAACGCGTTCCCGGGGCGAAGCAGATCTGGGAGGTCCTCGCCTTTTCCGGCCGCTTCGACGTTGACATGCTCGAGCGAGCCTTGCACGTCGATCCCAGTGATGCACCCGCAGAGCTCGCCGATCGCAGCCAGGTCTCTCAGGAAGAGCGCTGCCGCCTCCATCGTGACAAGGCGGAGGCCATTGCGCGCTACAACGAAGGTGAGCGGCTCTATCGCCATCGGCAAGAGGTGCAGCGTCGCGGCGCTAGTCAGCCTGCAGACGATGCCACTTTCACTCGCAGGCAATGGAACGCACTGCGGAAGTGGGAGAGCGGCGAGTTGCTCAAGAACCGCAATGCGGCGATTGTGGCGCTGGGACATGGTCGTCTGCGCACGAAAGAGGGCGATGACCTTGACATCGGCGGCAGCACCGGAGGTGGATCCCGGCGCATCATCGATTCTTGGCAGCCTCCAGATTGGCGCGATTTCCTGGAAGACGAGCACGAGAGGCGATGGATCCAGGCCTGCTCGCCCGCGGTGCTTCTGAGCCTGCGGTGTTGGAATGCTACTTGCAAAAGTGATTCCCTGCGCGGCCGCGCACAGCTTCTCTGCTGAGGAAGACGAGGAAGAGGAGGAAGCGAGGGGAGAGGGCGCGCAGGAGGAAGAGGAGGAGGACGGGCAAGAGGAGGGCGGAGGCCGACGAGGATGAGGTGGAAGAGGAGGGGGGGCTCTGTCTGCCAGTCTCTGTGGTGCTTCTAAGCCTGCAGGCTTGCCTCGCTTTCCTCTTTTGTTCGTCGCCAGACTGGCGCGATCTAGTTCCAAAAGTGCTGCGCTGCACGGCCGCCTTCAGCCACTGCGCTGACAGGGCGAGGAGGAGGAGGAAGACAAGGGAGATGACGAGCAGGAGGAGGAGGAGGAGGGGCAAGAGGAGGGCGGAGGCAAAGGAGGATGAGGTGGAAGAGGAGGGGGGACTCTGTCTGCCAGTCTGCGCGGTGCTTCTAAGCCTGCAGGTTTGCTTCGTTTTCCGCTTCTGTTCGCAGCCGGATCGGCGTGATCTAGTTCCAAAAGGGCTGCGCTGCACGATCGCGCTCAGCCTCTCTGCCGAAAAGGACGAGGAGGGGAGGAAGAGAAGGGAGAGGACGAGCAGGAGGAGAAGGAGGAAAAGGAAGAGGAGGGCGGAGGTGGAGGAAGATGAGGTGGAAGAGGAGGGGGGACTCTGTCTCTGAGTCTCTGTGGTGCTTTTAAGCCGGCAGGGTTGCCACGCCTGTTCGCTTGCGATCGCCGCCAGACTGGCGCGATCTTCGAGAAGACGAACAGGAGAGGTGATGGATCCAACTCTCCACGCCCGCTGTGCTTGTCAGCCTGCAGTATTGGAAGACTACTTCCAAAGGTAATGATATGCTCGGCCGCGTTGGCACGGTGCCTGCGAGTGTCTGCGATGCTTCTTAGCTTGCAGCTTTTGTCCGTTTTCTCGCTCCGTACGCTGCACTCATTTGTGCTCCTCGTGCGTGTCCGAAAAAAACACTTCGAAAGAACGCAGCCATCAAACGCAGCATTCATTGATACATAAGCTCTACTTTAAACCATCATGGTCATCATCGCATCATCCACTTCAAACGCTTCCGCGAGCACGCAGTGAACGTAGATACCAGAGTCTCATTTGAAACTGCATTCGTCGATACCGAGCGCTCGTTTAAACTCACATCCGTCGATTGCAGACTTTGATGCAGAAGTCTACAATGAGAGTCCGAGTTGAATATTAATGAAATCGCCATCTGAATCTAAATGATGGTGCACACATATATGCTTTTACACATCGCTGTTAGGTTGCTTTGCTGGGATAATTTAAACGGCCTCGCTCGTCGGGGTGATCATTATTTAATCGCTTCGCTCATTCCGCCGGCCCGTGTTGTCGCACCGTTGTGGGCTAGCCGAGTTTTGGGGCCTCTTGGGGGCCGTTTTGTGGCCTCTTGGGGCCTCTTTTGGGCCTCTTGGGCGCCTCTCGGGGCGTCTCGGGGGCCTCTCGGGTGCCTCTTGGGGCCTTTTTGGGACCTCCTGGGCGCCTTCTGGGGCGGAGGGCTCGATTTTTCAGTTCTCGGTTCCCCTCTTGAGCCCCTCTTGGGCCCGTCTTGGGGCCTCTTGGTCCGTCTTGGGCGGCACTTGGGCCGTATTGGGGGCCTCGCTTGTCGGGGTGATCATTATTGGGGTGGATATTTTGCCCCCCAAAAAGGGGGAGTATGACAGGGGGGGGATGGATACCAGGGCCAGGGCCGTGATATCTCCCCGGTATCCGGATTTCATGCCCCCCCCCCTGCTTTCTGCCAATACGTACCTTGGCCCCTCTTGGGCCGCGCACGTGCCTCGGGCTAAGAATGCGCAGGCCCCCGCTTCTGGACGACGCCCCTCCTCGGCAGGCCCTTCCCCCGTCAGCGCCGCGACGCTACAGACTGCACCCCTCGCCCCCCGCCCTCGACGCAACCGCTCGCCAGCGCCTCCCGTTGCAGCCTCAGTGCAGACGTCCACCTGCGCCGAGTCCGCCCTGGGGGCCATCGACCCCGACTACGCGCCTGACCGCCGCGGCGGCAATCAGGTCTTCAAGGTGAAGCCTGCATTCGACATCGGCATCGACCTCTCCTTCGACGGGTTTCGCCAGATTGCCCACAAGCACCTCATGTCAGGACGCTTCACTCTCTCTACCGTTGACTCCAACCAAGAAGGCGAGGCTCACCTGGTGTTTTTTTCACCACCCGCGCCAACTCCAACCACACGTGGGGCTTCGTTGACAACCCCAACAGAGGGAACGTCGGACTGACGCGGGCCATGCGCGGACTTGTCATTCTTGGAGATGGACGCATGATGGCCTCCGTTCGGAAGTCCCCCCAGCCTCCTGGGAAGTTTTTAAGGCTTCCCCGAAGACTCGGAGAAATGCTCAGAAGGCGGGAGCGCTTCTGAGAAGCCCCGCCGCCGTCTGAGAAGGCCTTCTCCTTCTCACTTCCCCCCCATCCCCCCCTCGCTCGGGGCTGGACATAACCCCCAACAGTAACACGTCGATTCGTGAATTGTCCGTTCCTGGTTCTCGAGAGGGCGCCGCGGCCGTTATTTTCTGGGCTTGCGCCCGCCAAGCTTGGGCCTCAGGCCGTTTTCACTGAACCACGTTTTGCTGAAGGGGGGCCTGTCCATCCCCGCCTCGCTCGCCCGCGGCGCAGGGGCCGGCCCCCACTCGTGCACGCCCCCAGATTTGGACGCCCGAAATGGGTACGGAAAGAATGGGTGCAATGCCCAACAGCAGTTCCTGTTCATTCTGAAACAGGACTCGCTGTCGGTGTCGCCGCGGCCTGTGTCCATTTGAGACAGAAGGCCGCCTGCCCAGCAGCGGCCGCTGTTGGCTTGGGACAGCATTTGTTGTTGAGCAGTGTGCCCATTCCTTCCGTACCCATCTCGGGCGTCCAAGCCGGAGGCGCGCACGCGACGCGGTGGCGCTCCCGCCGCCGCCCGCACGAGCGCCGAGGCCACGGGCGCCGCACGCCGCCGCCTCGGCGCGGCGGGCCCTGAGACTCGGGACGGGGGCGAGCCCGGCCTCGGGGCAGTGGCGAGGCGCCCCGGCTCGCCTATCAGCCCCACGAAACACAGTGTTCTGAGAACCTTTCTGTGGTTTCCACGAGATCCTCTCAGAACATATTTCTGGTGGATCTTGTCTTGCTTGAACACCTCGGGTTCATGTTCTAAGGACCTTGTTTTTTTTTCTGTTCCAAGAACATTGTTTGGGGGTTCTCAGAACATGTCGTGGTAGGACTGTAGGAATGCCGGAACGGCCGGTCCCTGCTCAAGACCTCTGTAGCCGGCGAGAGCTGCTGCAGCTGGCCGATCTCGATGCCCGGGGGCGTCCACGAGGGGCTGAGGACTCGGAGGCCTGGAAATTGGCACCAACACCAAGACAGAGGGTTGCCTCCACAGGGGGAAGCTGATCCTAGACTTTCGGTCTTGGTGGTAATAGTTCGGCCACCCTGGAAGCCAAAATATTGCCACCATCACCGAGATCGGGATCTTCTTCCCCCGGTGGAGGCACACCGCCGAGATTGGTGTTGGTGTCAATCTCTAGGCCTGCGGAGGACTGGACAAGAGCAGAGACAGACGTCTTCGGAGCTCCGCGCGGGTTTTCTGCATCGGCGCGGGGCCTCCCTGGCGGCGCCTTCGGCGCCGTCCCTGGCGCGCTCCGCGTGCCAGGGATGGGGGGACCATCGCAGATCCGAGAAGTCCGCGCGGGCCTCCGAAGGCTCGTGTTTATGCTTCTCGATCTTCCTCTACGAGTGGTGGGTGAGGACTGGGCGGGGGGATCGTGGCCCCCTCGTGTTCTCTCACCACACCCGCTGACCCCCACTCGCCCGCGCACGCACCTTTGGGCCATGATGCACACACACACACACAAATAGACACTCTTCCCGGGCCCCCTCTTCGGCGCCCTCGGAATGCTTTCCAGGTCGCAGGGCGCCGACCGCGGTTGGCTTGAGCGGCTGGTGGCCCAGAGAGTACGACGGGCGCGAAGGCGTTGGTCATGTCGCGCTCAGTGTTCATGATAGAAGAACGCTTCGCTCTGAGCCACTATCCACGCCATCACTGCCGCAGCTCTCGTGGCGCCTGTGTGTGATCAACTTTCCAAGTAGCCGCAGTCGTGGTGATCGATGGAGCGTGCGATCTTCGGGGCCGTGAAGGAGAAGGAGTAGGAGCAGGGTATAGGAGGAGGAGGAGGAGGAGGAGGAGGAGGAGGAGGAGGAGGAGAGGAGGAGAAGGAGGAGGAGGAGGAGAAGGGGGTGAGAGCGGAGAAGGAGAAGGGGGAGGACGACGACGACGACGTCCAGGAGCCTCCGCAACCCTGGGAAGCTTGAGAAACTTTAAAAACCCTTCCGAGACCGTTGAAGATTGTTGGAAGACGACGACGAAGAGCCCGGCGAGGCGGCGCTGATCCAGGCGGCCGGCTTCTACCACGATCCGGTCGGCACGTGCCCGCAGGAGGTTTTTTGGGGGAGGGGGGGGGATTCTCAAGCGTGGAGGAAAGGGGTCGTGGAGACATTCCTCCTCCCCCTCCTCCTCGTCACCTTCCTTTGTCCTCCTAACCCCTCTTGACCTTTATTCCCTCCTGTCCGTTATCCCCTTCCTGCTGTCTATTGCCATCTCCTCCCCCATGATGTTCCTCTATCCTCATAGTCCTCTTCCCCTCCATCTTTCTCTCTCTCTCTCTCTCTCCCTCTCTCCATCTCTCTCGTCTTCATGAACAACTCGTCGTCGCACAGCCAGCAGTGTATGTAGGGCAGACCAGGCGTTTTGTTTCAGACCTCCACCGATGACAAAGCTGTCTAATATCATAGAGCTACAAGGATGGAAGGTGAGTCGTCTTCAACATGTGGCTACCGCTTCGGCGCCGCGCACATTTGCTCTTATGTTTTTTCAACTGCAAGAGGATGGAAGGCGGGTCCTTCTCAACATGTGACTTCCGCTTCAGCGACGTGCACACTTGCGTCAGAAATGTTCACACTTATGTTTGGCAGCGTAGACCCTAAACAGTGGATTATTGCATTCTCTTCCTGCGACGTCTGTTGTGCAGTATGTGTTCGTTGTAACCTATATCGTGCAGTCTTTACACGCCTGCACGGCACAACACATTCGTGTCGCAGTGCATGGGGGTTCTGCACTGGATGCAGCTTCTGCTGGTGTACGCTACGGGGGTGTGATCCAGGGGGTGCGCAACCTATGCGGGTGCCAGCCACGTCGTGCAGTCCATGTGTGCATCCAGAAGCGCCAGCCAGCGCACGAGGCGCCCACGGGTGCCGCACACCAGCCGAAAGTCGTGAGTCGCCCGCCGGCGCACGAGGCGCCAACGTGGACCTCACAGGGGGCGACCTGCCGACAGGCCGGGAGCCCAAGCGGGCGAACGCGGGCGCCCACGGACGTAGTTTTTGAAGGCTCCAGCAAATTGTTTCGATCATGTGGGCCAGCGTGGCTTGCAAACAAAAGTTTGTGGACTCTGGGTGTGGCAGCTGGGTCGTATGAGCTATGCGGTACATTCTGCGCGGTGCAGGCTGTGTGGTGCAAGCTACGAAGTGCCACCTGCGTGGCGCAATACGTGCGTGGCGTGGAGGAGGAGGAGGAGGAGGTCCGTAGCCATTTGGGCTCAAGCCATTTTGGCTTAAGCCATTTTGGCTCAAGCGCCCCGCGTCCGGCGCACTGCTTTTCACTGCTGGGCGTCTGACCCACCTACATACCCATTTACACACTGCTTCTCGGCATGTCGGCCCGCAGTGCATGCGCCGCCCAGCGCCCTTCTCATTCTCGTGCGCGCTCGTTCTCGCACAGACATGCCTCCTGGCGACAGGGGAACTCGACGCCAGCCTCGATCCGACGACCGAGCTCCTGCAGGCGCCGGGTCCGGCGCTTCTCATCGGCATCGCCGCTCCGAAGATCGATCCCGCGACGCTGCAGCTGGAGCAGGATCTGCTACACCTCGGAGGAGCCGCAGTCAGCAAGGGCGTGGTGAGGCGCTCTCCGAAGGCGAACGCGCTGACCCATGGCAGCCTGGCAGCTCTGAGCACCGCGCTGACCCCTGGCAGCCTCGACCCCGCGGCGACGGCGATCGGCGACCTACTCGCCCCGGCTCCGACGGCGACGGCCGGGATCGGAAGGGCTCCCACAGCCCTGGGCGGGACGATGACGCCCCCAGCACGGACCGCGCTGACGACGACGACCACGTCACCAGGGCAGAGCATCGCCACGCTCTCAAGGAGTTGGCGTCGAGGATGGGCTCCAGGATCCCCGCCATGGCGGAGGCGCATAAAGACGCGGCGAACAACACCGCCACCAGATTCAAGAAGATCGCGGCTGACGTCACCAGCCTGGGTTCAGAGATCGCCCAGGAGTGCCAGAATCTCTTCGGTCGGCGCATCGACACGCTGGAGAAGCGCATGGACGACGTTGACATCACCAACGCGAGACTTGCAGCCAGACTGGACACCCTCGAGAAGGAGCTTGGGCTCATGCGCGGCGGCGACCCCGGCCCCGCTCCAGCCAGCCTGGCCTGGAACCGCCCCAAGGACACCACCATCCTGCGCGTCGTCGCCCGCGGCCAGGTGGCGAAGGACCAGGTCAGCGCCTCCCTCACCGACTGGCTCGACGCAGCCAACATCAAACTGGACCGAGTGGAGCTCATCGGCGACGACCTCGGCAAAAGCTTCACCCTCCAATTCAAAGGTACACGCGAGTGGGCCACCAAACAGGTCACACTCGCCCGGTCCGCCCTTCGGCGTGCTGACGGCTCTTGGCGGTCATTTTCCTGCCCCGCCCCCAGCGGCGACCTCATCAATCTCGCGGTCGATGAGGATAAGAACCAGCATGACCGCACCCTCGAGTTCAAACTCCGGCAAGCAAGGCGAGCGCTCACGGCCGCCACCGGGAAACGCTTCTTCGCGGACAAGCAATCGGGTACCATCACCCATGACTGGACCCCCGTGGTCAAGATCGGCGTCGAGCCCGACGGCAACGTCGCACTTATGTGGAACGACAAAGGTATCGAATCCCTTGGGCTTCGACGCTCCCAAGTGGCGATGGCCCTGCGAGCCGCTCTCACGCCAGACGCCCCGGAGTGGTGTCTTTAACGCATTCGCGCCGCACCACGCCTTCAATATAGCCACGTGGAACAGCAGGGCTCTGACCACCCCGGACAACAAGATCAGTGACCCGAAGATCCACGCTCTCGGCAATGCTTTGAAGGCGAACGGCATCGTCCTCCTCCAGGAGGTCCGTGACAACGACACCGTCCTCCGCGAGATCCTCCACCGGGTGCACTCCCAAGGGTACATTTTTTCCTCCTACCTGCCCGAAGGTGTCGTTGGCGGTGGCGTCGTGATCCTGGTCAACCAGATCGCAGGCCGGGCCGCCCCCGCAGTGGTGTCCCACAACGCTCCCGTACATGGCCGCATCCAGCGGCTCCACCTTCGCCTACCGTGGCCTGCTTGCGCCGACGGCGGCGACCAGGCCGATGCTGACCATGAGCCGCCACGCGCACCGGATGTCGGTGACCTACCTGACGCTGGCGAGACACTTTCAAGGTCACCAGCCGCGTGCGCCCCCACCGGGGGCGCGCACAACCACAAAGGAGACCAGGCCGATGCTGACCATGGGCCGCCACGCGCACCGGATGTGGGCGACCTACCTGGCGCCGGCGAGACACCCTCAAGGTCGCCGGCAGCGTGCGCCCCGGCCGGGAGCGTGCACAACCGCAAGGAACTCATCATTTGGAACGTCCATAACCACGGGCTCAGCGCCATCCGCTCCAAGACGGCCACCACCGACATGATCGCAGACGCTCGCTGGTCGCAGGAGCCCCCCCAGACGCGGACCTGCTTCGTGGCCGGCGATTTCAGCTGGTCGGACGAACTCCCCCTCCGGCGCGGTCAGGTTTCTGGCGAGGCGGCTCTTCTTCCACGGGAACGTCTACCTGGCGCCGATCGCGCGGGGCGCCACTGGCGTGCGATGGCGAAGGCCTGCGCGGAGCTCGCCCCAGTCGGCCCGACCACCCACTGGGTTGCTTACACCAAGTCCGCCTCCAAGATCGACAAGATCTTCATCTCCACGCCCCCGTGGCTCCTGTGCCAAGGACGCCAGGCCGCCGCGACCAACCTGGACCCCGAGGAGATGCACGTCCTGGGCGCCAGCGACCACGCTGTGCTTGCGGCGGTGCTCCACAGGGCAGCCTCGCCCTAGGGGGGGGGCCACTCCCCGCAGATCCAGCCGCGCGCGCCAATTCCACGACATTACTTCGAGCACAACCTATATTCTGACTTGGTAGACAAGTACCTGGACGCCGCCAGGATTGAGCAGACGTCTGCGCCTCGCGCTCACATCGCCGCCGCGGCCGTCCTCCAGGAGGTCGCGAAGGTCATCCGCAACGCCGAGATTCACGGGATGCCCAACGGGGTCCACACGAAAGCTATGGCCACGCGCACGCTCGCGAGGCTCATCCACGGCAATGACTTCGAGGCCGTTGCGAGGCTCTGCAGGCTCCACCCGTGGATCTCCGAGTACGCCCACATCGACCTCAATGTCAGTCGCGCCACCCTAACTGACCCCCCTCGCTTCGCCGCGCTCCACTCCCGGTTGCAGAGGGAGGGGGCGCAGCGCAAGGAGGCAGCCCTCCTTGCTGAGGAGGCCCAGGAGGCCAGCTCCCGGCGCCGAGCCAAGGAAGCTGGACAAATGCGTGCGCTACGACGTCGTGCTCTGCTCTTCTCGCCCTTCCGGGCAAGGGAAGTTCTCACCGGGATCCGCGTCGAGAGTCACACGATCGCGGACCTTGAGGGCATCCGCGCTGAGCTGTCCGACTACTGGGGCCGCGTCTTCTCGGCGAAGGCGCCGCCAGGGCCTGGCGCTCGCCGCTACCTCGGCCGCTTCAACAGCAGCGCGTTGGCCGGGCAGGTGGGCCCGCCAGCGCGCCGTGTTTCACCAAGTTCGCGGAGAAAATGCCGACCAGCGCCTCTGGTGTCGATGGCCTTCCCTACGCTGCCTGGAAGCACCCCCGTGTCCTTGATGTCCTCTCCTGCTCAGAGTGGATCTGCAGCGGCTCCCCGATGTTCGACTCCTTCAACCTCGCGACGGCGATCTACGCGCCCAAGGGCCTCGACGAGCACGACGCCGGCGACCTAGTCAGCAGGGCGGCCAGCGACGTGAGGCCGCTCAGCCTCAAGCTCACCAGCAATAAGATCATCTGCAGCGTTCACCATTGGAAGTGGCAGACGGTGGTTAAGCGCATGGCCCCTCCGAACCAGCGCGGGTTTGTCAGCGGACGCAACTTTCTCCAGAACATCGTTGACCTCGATATCTACGGCCGCATCGCCGGGCTCTTCCCCTCCGCCGAGCACCCGCTCCTCGTGCTTTTCGACTTCGCAGCGGCCTTCCCCTCTGTGGGGTGGGCCTGGCTTTTCAATTG